ATGAAACAGCCAAGTGTTAGGTGTGAGCACTGACAGTCTTCATTTGCTGGCTAGTGGAAATAACCCATTGTTGAAAGAAGGAATAGACAAAAGATTGTTACAGGAGTAGAGCCAGTATGACATATTTTGGTGACAAAAATTAAAGACTGTTAGTGAAAAAGATCAAATTAAATTTCAAATTCAAAACTATTCCATGAATGAACTTAAAAGTGAAGGTGGGGTGTTAAGCAGGGATTTTAGTTTATTTGGTCTGCCATAAACAACTGGGTGGCTTCAAACCACAGAAATCTATTCTCTTGAAGTTCTGGAGGCCAGAAGTCTGAGATCAAGTTGTTGACAGGGCTATGCTCACTCTGAAAGCTCTAGGGGAAAATCTTTCTTGTCTTTTCTGAGCCTCGGGGGGCTCCTGGCAATCTCTAGCATTCCTTGACTTTCAGCCTCATCATCACTCCAGTTTCTGCCTGTCTTCACTTAGCCTTCTTCCCTGTGTCTCCTTTGTGTCCTTATTAACCTAAGGCATCAGGAATTGTATTTAGAGGCCACCCCAATCCAGCCTGACCTCATCTTAACTTGATGGCATTTGTAAAGACCCTTATCCAAATAAAGTCATGCTCACAGGTACCTGGGGTTAGGACTTGAGGGTGTCTTTTCAGGAGGATACAAGTCAATGCATTATAGTAGGCAAAAATGTAAAAGCCCCCAGTTATGCTCTTTTTGCCTCACCAGTTAACCTTCTTGTATTCCTGCTTTGTTTCCTAACACCTACTCTACTTTCTATACATACCTGCTTTCAGGAAAGTTTCTTAGAAATTCACCCACCCTAACGTGTGAGAGAGCATTTCCCATCATCAGGCCCCAAACTAAAAAAAAAATGCCTAACTGTGGGATTTCAGGCAACAAGTTGTGGAAAGGGCAAGTCGTGTTACATTTGTCACAAAATTTGTGAAATCACATGAGTTTCCCTTTTCATGAAGCTGAGAATTGGAAATGTTGGTGTCCAGAGAATTCTAAGGGTGATATCTACATGGTGTGTACATTGACAATGCGAAACTATATAGTATGAAGGGTATTCACAAATATAGACTCGTACATCTGAGCCTTGCAAGTGCTAAGACCCATCTTGGAGATAGAACAAGAATAGAATTGTTTTCCTATAAAGGGTTCAACTTGTTTCAGGTTGTAAGCTACCTCCACATTCTTAGAAATACCCAGGTCACAGCTCTTGGCTGTGAGCACTAAGATGAAATGAAAAGGCTTCACCAGACTTGAAATCAGACCTGAGTTGGAATCCTGGCTTTGCCTTGATCTATCTGTGTAACTTTTGCCAAGTAATTGTGTGAATTTCAGTTTCTTCCCTGTACAGTAAGGATAACAGTACAGCTTATATAAGCTGTATGATAGTTTATATACTCTTTCATTATATATGTATATGTTATATTGCTATGGTCTGAATGTTTGTGTCCCTCTTAAATTCTAAGAGGAGGCAATAAGAGGAGGGGCCTCTGGGAGATGAATAAATCATGAGGACAGAGGTCTCATGATTTGGATTAGTACACTTATAAAAGAGACTCCAGAGAGCTAGCACCTCCCTTCTTCCACGTTAGGATACAACAGAAAGTCTACAACCTGAAAGAGGGTCCTGCTGTGGAATTCTGATCTCAAACTTCAGCCTCCAGAACTGTGAGAAATAAATTTTTGTTTATAAGCTGTCCAATCTGTGGTATTTTGTTATAGCAGCCCAAGTTAGTACACTAAGACATGTGTATATATATATATATATGTAACAACATATGTGTTGTTATGTGCATACACAACATGTATACTACATTGTAACAACCTTACCTAGAGACAAAGGAGACATAAAGAATGTAAAAGGCCTATACAAGCATAAACAGTTATTCTAAGAAAAAGGACTTGAAATTAATTTCCTTAAAGACTTAAGGGACATAAATGCTTATGCTGTTGTCTCCTGGGGCATACACGCATCCTTGTGGCATTCTCCGTACTGACAGTGAAGTATTTCATTATACCTCCATTCAAGTGCTTGCCATATTCTGTCTGTGCTTGCACAGTTAGCAGGTCTTATTGAGAGAGCATTCAATTAGCCAATATAGATGGTTACAAAAGAAAAAGAAAATACAATCTCTACTCATAAGATAAAGCCAGAAAGAATGACCCCAGATAGACAAATCAGGACAAAAGTAATTTGTACAATGGATTATATCACCAAGAGTAAAATCAAAAGGAGAAGGTAAAGAAATTATTTTCCTTTTAAGATTAAATAGAGAATCCATCGTTTTATTCTTTGGCAATGAAGACACACTGAAATAGAGACATCAACACATTTAAAAGAAGAATGTTAAAAGTGAAGCATCTTTACAGTAGCATCTTTTCTATTAGTTCAAATAAGTATGCATCAGCATCATGGCTTTCAAAGATTCATGAAACACAAAGGAGTACACGTAATTATAGCACTAGGCAGAGTACAGTAAATGCTTTCATGGAGGTATAATCAGATACTTAGGCACAGGTGGGGAGAGATACAAGGGTACTTGCAGTATTGCCTGGTGGTTAAGCTGTTAGGTGGTGGAATGAGGTGCTACCTTCATATTTGAAGGCAGTACTTGATTGCACCCTTTACACAAAATAATTCACTCCTCTTCTGCCTTGAGTTGCTGTGTGGCTTTGGAAGAGGAATAAAATTGTTCCAACCCTCCTTTTTCTCATCTGGAAGATAGGACAATAATTATGTCTGCCTCATGGTGGTATTGTGGGGGTCAAGTAATGCATTGTGTGTGAACCAACTAAGGTGACTGATGCTCAGGAAACTTGTATTTGTATCAGTTATTATTGTCAATACAATTGTTTCTCAGAAGAAAGACTTGAAGAAGAAAGTATTTAGTGGATATTGGAATGGTGGATAAGATATTTTGGTGTGTTAATCAATGTGGGGAATGATACTTAAAGGCTAAGGTCTATGTTTAAAACACTGTTTGTAACAAAAAGGCTTAGGAAGTGAAATTGTACTAGTTACTTAGGAATTTTCCTTAGCAAGTATGTTGTACTAGTTAATATAAAAAAGTTTGTTCCCAGATACCCACCTGCCAACATTTTTTTGTCTAATATCATTTCTCTAAAGCACATTCATAGCACTTAAAATACATTCCATCAGTAATAAAGAAATGTTCAAAAAGATGAATTATTCTTTTCTTTAAAAATGTGAACAAAGGCCTCGTGGAAGCCGGGGTAATACATATTGTTTCATCAAAGAATTGGCCATAAAAGCATATCCCATTTATAGACAGACTCAGAAAGAGAAGAGAGTATGGAAAGCTGGGATTTGAATCTAAGTCAAGTTAACATCTATATTCAGGAGGCTGAGATGCAGCTGATGAGAGAGAAGTAGTGGTTTGTGGAAGGTGTAGAAATCCTGGCATCATTTAAGGCAGTAAAGAAGGAATGGAGTAATGTTTCCTCTTTATGGAAACCACGAAATAATCATCTTCTATTGCTTCTAAA